ATCAAATAATTTAATTACAAAACGCAATTAAAGATTAATTGCAACTACTTTTTTAATCAATTGTCAATTGAATAATTCGTTTAGTAAAGCTCAATTTTGAGCACATCAGCTGTTAAAAAAGTTTTCGAAGATGATTTTGTACTTCACCAACGTTGTATCAAGGTTTAAAATAAATCGGAGAAATTTAATTAAGCTGTATAACCAGTCGTGCCGATAGTACATTACAATAAAACCTACTTATCTGTAGATTGACATATTAGTTTTCAATGAATAGTTTTTCAAAGTTCACTGATATGTCACAGTTAAAATCATGAACTCTTTTAAGTTTCAATAAAATTAACCTTTACCTGCCCTGCGATTCTTTAAATATCCAGACCCGAATTTGAATTCCCTCATTTAGTGTAAAAATTATATTGATTCCAATTTTTATATAAAAATACAAAACAAAATTGATTGCACAAACGTGTCTCTGATATCCTATTCCTATGTCATTTCGAAACTCACTTCATTTATGCCACGAAACGTTTTTACCAATTCATAGAATCGCTGGGCTGAAGATGAATTATGTAACATTCTGTAATTTCATTAGGTAGGCGTATGATGTAGCTTCCCGATAGTGAAAGAATTACAAAATCGATTCAGCAGTTTCTGAGCTTGTAGAATGCAAACAAACAATCATACTTTTCCTATATACAATATTAGTATAGTTTATTAGATTTCACATTATTCAAATATTTATAAATAACGGGAAGAACAACATTTCTGTCGCCTTTCTTAGGTCTGCCTACATAGCTATGATCAAACTTTATCATTATTATTATATTGTATTAAGCTTCGCTATAAAGTACAATAGAGATTTCGAAACGACCATAGTATTAAATGTTTTTTATTTTTAATTTAGAGTAACTCCATGGCGTAGTGCATAAACGTAACGGCAAGCGATCGTTGTTGTTAAATGAATTTTAGCTCGTGCTACTCCGTGCTTCGAAAGGCATGTTAAGCCGTTAGTCCCGGCTGCATCTGCAGTCGTTAATACCTTCCGATCCGCATTGGGCCAGAGTAGATGGTCATGGCCCATCCTCCTTAACGATCCATAATGAAGGCCTGAGCCCCTGCAGTGGGATGTAGAAGGGTGATGATGATGATGTTAAATTAAATCTTAATTCATATATTTAATAAGCCATTAAACTTAGACTAAATATAAAATTACAAGACATTAGTTTTAAATTCCTTAATGACTTAAAAATTAAAGTCTTATTTTAAACTTTCAGATTATTAAACTAAATCACTAGAAGCAATTAGTGCGTTATCACCTGTGTTTGCGAAACTTTAAACGAGTTTCTTGTTGTGTTTTATGAAATATTACTATACTTGCACAAGTTTCTATTGAACTAACTTATGAACCTGTCATTTTGTTCTCATTAAAATGTTATATATATGTATATTTGTGTTATGCTTATTTTTTATTTCTCTCAATGATTACATATGCACCTGCTTTTATCGTTTATTTTAATCTCCACATCACCTAAAGATTGATTGGCAGAGAATGCCTAAGGCATTAAGTCCGCGTTTGTAAGATTGTGCATTAAGAATTAAATAAATAAATTAAATATAATTCAATTGCAATGACACTTTTATGCCGTGCATAGGTAATATAGAAATATTTATTGACTAGATTATAAGTCCTACCACTGCTGAGGACCAGTACCGGTGCCTATATTTATCATAATAGTGACAAATTGTTCCAGACCATTATACTAACAGAATTCAAAAATATTTGAGATAATTTGCCATGTTTTGGTAAACTGATGGGCCGCTGTGTGTACGTACACCATTTGATAAAAATTGAAAACTAAAAATCTATTCATGAAATACAACGGATTTATTTCTCTTTCCAACATATAAAATAAAAATATCCACCATAATTTTTTACAACTTAATAGACTAATTTTTAATACAAGGCAACTTATTCATAAAAGAAGTCTATATTGTTTATTCAGACTATATTACTACGAGCATTTACGTAACTTGAAAACTATGCAATTGGTTAACAAAGATACTTTCAGCGGGTTTAGAGTATTATTTTTAAGTCGGCGAAAGAGCATGTAAACTCAGCAAGAGCTACTTTTTTCTTCATATTTATTTCGAATATCCAATTGAAAACTTGTTAAGCTTACTTGGTTTTCAATGTGATTATCCTGGTATATTTTAAACAGTATGACATCTGTCGGATTTCTTCCTAACTTGTTACCACTATGTAATGCTAATAATAATAAAAAATAAGTAAACTGACTTTATAAAAACTATGAAATCAATTTCCATCACAATATTAGAACATAAACTTTTTCTTACGTTAATCGATTAAGTTTTAAATGACTAATTCTTGTAAATCTAATCTAAACCACGGAAACTGCTACAATGATATTTATGAAATATATTATGCATGGGAGTTTTCGGGGATGATTAATCGATATAGCTGGGTTTTATTTACAAAAAAAAAAATAAACCAGGTAATGTTATAAATATACAATTTGCTAGCTATTTAATTCAATGTTTGCTAAGGTTTAGCTTCTCAATCTCAAATAATTCTGATTCCGATAATCATTGTGCCAATCTTTATTCTTCTTAAGATTAACTATTTTAAGCTCTTGTTTTATCTGACATTGCCAGTAGACACATAGAAAGTTAATATTAAACTTTGAAGGAAGAAAGTCATTCATAAAACAATTACCTGTTTTTACATTGAACTAACTATTTTCCCGCAACTCCCACTTAAATTATATCCTATGTCATCCGCCTATGATGTAGCTGCCCATATGAAAGACTTTTTAAACGCAAACAAACAAAGAATCAAATCTATCCTCTTTATAAAGTTATTAGTATTTAAATTAATAGTGAAAAATTAAGTATAGATATACAGGAAATGTAAATAATGTTTCGTTGAATTCAGTAGTCGTAAAAATCTATTCATAAACTCATTGCTATTTGCAGTGACATAAATTACGTCTATCCTTTTGTTACGTTTGAATTCTGAGACTGAATTATTGCTGCCAGTTTGCTTTGTTGAGTTTTGTGACCATTTGTGTCTCAATAAAATAGGAATGTTGGCAGAAATTGTTTTCATTTGAGTAATAACAACAAGTAACGTAGTTAATTTGCAAATGAGATAAATAATTGGTCGATTATTATCATAGTAAAAAAATATAGTGAAAGCTTACTAGATGTATATTACCTATATTATTACAGTTTACAAAAATGGGAAATGTTTTTTACAAAAATTGAGCGGGTGGTAGTTCAAAAGTATCAATTAAATTTAAATAATAGGAACAAATGCGTAGTAATAGTACACACAATGCTTGCAATGCCTTTAACAGTTTTGTGTACTGAATGGCAACGAATATTAATAAAACCTCAATCTTTATAATCATTCTTTATAACTGTAATGATAAATTAGCTAAACTGTGTAGTTAAAACTGAACCATTTTGTATTGTAAACAAAATGGTTCAGTTGTATACAAAAAGGTTTCACGTATATGGTGTCAAATATTAATAACATCCTTATTAATAATTCATTTTAAACACCAGAATACATCCACGTTAAAGTACTTACACAGAGGGATAAAATAAATTGGTATATTTTATCCACTACCTCAAATTCGAGGCGTGGCCGTGATAAAATTATGCGACACACAATGTACAATTCTTACCACAAAGCCTTTTAAATGATACCCCAGAGATTTATAAGAGGCGAACATTTTCAGACTGTATTGCGATTTATTTTCTTTGTTCCCACATTCTCAGGTGTTAATCTGAATAATTTTGTGACAAAAATTATCTTATTTATTTATTTAATCTTTATTGCACAAATTAAAATGTACAAATGGTGGACTTAATGCCATAAGACATTCTCTATTAATCAACCGGAGAGTTTAAAAAAGGCGGTGCAACAATGAAACAGAGACACAGTTTCAATGTGAAAAATAAAATTATAAACTACCAATATCTCTGCATAAATTTACATACATACACAACATATATGTATATACATAGACATTTTAACCACATACCTCAGAAGATTCAATAGATGTTCGCGCAGTAGATGTTTGAAGACAAGTTTATTTGGAGCAGCTTGTATGTGGCAAGGCATGCAGAGTCGTAAATTTGAACTTGAACCGAAAATTAATTGGAAATGAAACCTGTCCGATGAGGAGGAAAAGCGAGAGTTTGCTTGCTGTCTGAACGAAGATTACGACTGTGAGAAGCACCTAGATACTGAAATTTACATTTCGAATACCCAGGTGCACACGTATCATTAATTATAGAACAGAGAAAAATTATCTTATACCGAGGTATAAAAAATATCTTATACCACAGTTGGTATAAGATAATATTTGGCAATTTGTGTCAATTCAGAGTAACACCTTAGAGGTTTCTTAGGCAATGCAGTCTCAAAATGTTCGCCCCTTATAGATCTCTAGGGTGTCATTTAGAAGGCTTTGTCAGTATGAATATTAGCATATTTAATATGGAATTACAGTATACAAAAATGTGAACTGTTTTTACGAACATTGCGCGGGCGGTAGTACAAAGTATGAATTAAATTTAACTAATAGAAACAAATGCATAGAATTTATAAAAAAATACATATTACTTGCAATGCATTTAACAGTTTTGTGTACTGAATGGCAACGAATGTTAATGAAACCTCAATCTTTATAATCATACTTTTTAACTGTAATTTAAACTACATTATAAATTAGCTAAACTACATCAGGTGTACTTTATTCTGAACCATATTTTATATTTTATACGTATATGGTATCAAATATTAATAACAAACTTATTAATAATTCATTTTAAACACCAAGAATACATCCACGATAAAGTACTTACACAGAAGAATGAAATAAAGTGGTATATTTTATCCATTACCTCAAATTCGAGATTTCCAAAGTTTAAAAAAATACAAAATTTCAAAATAACGTTTATTTTGTTAATAGAGTTCTTGAAAGAGTTAACGTGCTGGGGTCGCGTGTCACCGGACTGGTCTCGGTGCGTGGACGAGTTGCAGGACGCCGTACGGGAGATCAGCGAGAGAGCACAGCAATTGACATACTTCAACAGGAACGCTGAACTTTGCTGGTGAGATTACACAAAAAATATTGAGACCTACTTAGTTAAAAATGGCACTTCGTGCGCGTAAATTATAGCCTATGTTATTCGCTTGTGATATAGTTTCCCATAAGTGATATAATTTCGTGATGGGATCAGTATATCCCAAGATTATTCCGTACAAATAAAGTTAGAAACTTATCTTTATTATATTAGTAATAATTTGTCCATTGACAATAGTTAAGGCCTTAGCTACTATAAGCCAGTTGTAATAAAAAGTTATTTCTACTATTGATCATACATTTTTTGAGCAATTTACATAGTATTGCTAACTAATGAATGTTAACTAATAGTCAGTTAACTAGTGATTAAACAACAGGCTGTAAACTGGATTAAGAAGCTACTGATATATTCATTAATTAAAAAAAAATTATATATACTGATATATTCGTTAATTAAAAAGAAAAAAAAAACACTTTCATTTAAACCAGCATAGGTGTTCTACACTGGATCGGAATCCGTAAATCTAATCGTATTACTGCTGAATATCAACTCACCTGGGGCGATTATTTGATAAAAAATTCTTTAAAAAATTGCTGTGCTATAGGTAAAATAATAAAAATAATAATTTGTTGTTCGAAATAAAAATTATTTCGAACAACATTCAGAAATTCACATATTTTTGTTAGTTTAACACAAAATAAACTTAAAATGTAGTGTTAGTATCGTTTACAATTATTGAGAAACTAATTTTGTAACGTAATTATGAATTATGGGTAAATAAATTGAGTTGAATTATTCACAATTTTGTTACAAATTATTTAAACCGCATAGTGATTTTTGATTTAAATTTTTAGCTAAGTTTATCAATCCAAAACCACCAGTGATAGAAAATATAGCTTGTTATTAAAATTATTCACTGTGTCATTTTGTAAACAGTCGTACGGATTTGTAACACTTTACAAAATGATCTGGCGCTTAAAAACCTCATTTTACAGATCAGCGGGCTTTTGTAAATAGACAAAGCCATTTGTAAAATAACGAATAAAACAATGACGCCAATTAATTCTGTACTATATACTACATAACTATTTCATAAAAAAACAAAAAACATAAACTATTAAGTAAATTATCTATAATTAAAATAAGCCTAACAGCCAGTTGCGCAAACGCCCATTAAAATTGTAATTAGTTTAAGGTGACATGGGTTACATACAAATTTGACATTAATTAGAGCTTAAAACGTCATTAAACCTTAATGGACGTTTGTGCAACTGACTATTAATCAATTACGTATGATGTATGGAGCTTTCCGTAGGCGAAAGAATTTTTATAATCGAATTAGTATTTCAGAAGAAAACAAAGTTAGAAACTTTACCTCTTTATAAAATTAGTATATACTAACAATAAAATATTGTTAGCGGACTAAATTTTATTTGTCTTTTAGATAGATTTTATTTACGTATTTTTTTAATCTTTTGCATTAAAAATAAATTACGGCGATATATTGATTATCGCTTGACGTCACACATTTGTACATTATTACACAGTTGTGATGTTTCTTGTTAAAAAAGCAAAAAAGATTTACGTATTTTATATTTTTCTTATTTCTATTATCTGACTTACGGAATAATAATAATATATTTTATATCATCATCCCCATTGTGTTCGATAAGGAATTGATTAGATATTTGTTTCAGTGCAAGGGACGCGTTCGTCATGTGCGTGGGCCACGCAGGTCGGTCTTGCTCAAACTCGGCGAGCACGTTGCTCAGACGAATGGCTTGGGTACTAGCTCAGGACGTGGCGGCGTGCAGTCAACAACCAAGAGCCTACTGTTCAGCACCACCGCCCCCCCTCACGACGCCGTTGTTGACCGCATTGTACGGCATGATTTTATATCCACCGCGATTGTAAAATGCCAATAAAAGTTTAGATAGCGCATTGTCAATAAATGACTCAAAAATGAAATTTAAATTACATGATTTTGAGTTGAATTAAAATGTGTCAGAGAATAATAGATAAATAACAGGTTGATTATGAAGCCAGGGGAGCCGTCCCACCATTTCGTAAGCTTATTATGAGTTCAGTAGAAGAAGATAACCGAATATGCCTACTCCCTAATATGAAACTTCTTCAGTAATTCTTAGCAGGGGATTGTAAATTGTCAATAAGGACAAATAATTTGCGATTGGATAACGGATTCGTTTGAGTAATTGTAAAGTGTATTAAAATTTTTATAAAGAATAATGTAGGATAGTAATTTCGGTATTCCATTTTAATACTATTCTATGTTTGTTTAAGCCCCTCTAGATTTTTATTGCCATTAACTAACATATAGGAGCTTTGTTTGCTGAACCGAACATTTAAGTTCGCTCCAAGTTCAAATTAGTTTGCCATTGACTAAGCCGAGATTAACAGCCGTAGAGGTTGGATACTACTTAACGACTATTTTAGTTTACAATAGCCGGTTACATGCGATAGAGTTAAATACTATTACGTAAACAAATAATGACTAAACTTGTTGTCTTTATTAGAAGTTTGGAAGACAGTAAATATGTATATCGATATTGGGTATTTGAAGTAAAAGGTAATTACATCTGTTAATTTTAAAAAGAAACATCTAATACCTTTCTACTCAAATCATCAGTTTAATAAATCTTTTTAAATAATATATTTTATTTAGATTAGTAGAAAAATAATAGGAAAATAAATCCCTAAGCTCAAAATTATACGAAAATTATATAAAAAATGTAGGTACCTAACTCATATTTTATCAAGAAGGAACCAATTTAAAGCATAGGATTGTCTTAAAATAAGGTATGTATGAATAAATAGAATGAGTAATTTAGTGAAGAAGGAATACATAAATTAGACTAAAAGCTTTCAGTTAAAATAAATTGTATTTACAAATAAAATCTTTTTGATGCTTTTAAGTAAATCTGTTGCGTATTTTTTTCCTCTAATTTTTAATTAATTTTGTTAATGTTGAGGTACCTTTTATTAATACTCTTGTTGTTCTCATCTCATTTTCATAGCTTTTGTCGAATATATAAACTGAGATCGGTTCCCGGTCGGGTCAAATGAAAATTAACTTTTCAATAGTGTCCCGTGTATGGGTGTTGTGTGTGATAACTTCGTTGTTTAAGATAATCCATAGAATATTATAGATATTATTTATTTACTGACAGTCGAAACTATTTCTGTTTAATATATGATGTTAGAGTCAAAATATTGAGTTGTAATTTGCGACAGTTTGTCGCCAGCGGTATTTCCGGACCGATACGACATTCAAACTTTCAAGCGTAGAGCACATTCGTCCCTCAAAGGCCGGCAGCGCGCTTGTAGCTCCTCTGGTGTTGCAGGTGTCCATGGGCGGCGGTAATCACTCACCATCAGGTGATCCGTCTGCTCGACTGCCCCCTATTCCATAAAAAAAATTAACAAAGTTTTTGAAGGTTAATAGATTTAAAAGAAGACATAATAGTGAGTTAGGTGTATGGTAAATTAATGAACGTAAACTGATAATGATTAATTTTAGATGGTATAAGGAACATAATATATTACTTTTAAGTAGATAATGTAAATAATTGGCTTCTCTGATATGCCTCTAATGTAACGAAAATAGATAGAAAATACAATAATTAGTAGCTGCCTAATCTAGTTTTATTTTTGTAATTGCATATTGTTATTTGGAGTAAAAATTAGTCTGAAAATTAATCTTAGTGTAATTTTGTTTCACTTTTAAATACCTTTCTTGATAAATCTTAAAGAAATAGGTGAGTATTTTTTGCTTTTAATTCAATTAAAATTATAATATTTACAATTCACTAGAGATTGTAAATAAAAACCATAAGTCGAGATACAATTTTAAAATACTTTAACACATATTTGTAAATGACGTCTAAATAATAAGTATATTGTTTATTACATGGTTGATGTTGTAAAATCTGAAATTTAATAAAGATCTGTGGTCATATAAGATTATTTTTATTGTACCTATTTTTTCCAACCTCAAAATCGTTATGATTCAGTTATACTGTTCGATAAAAAGGTCGTTATAATATAACCATCGCAAGTTAAAAGTGAAGGTAAAAATACATGTAAAAAAAAATAATATGAAACGAAATATCGACAAAATATCGCTAAGATATCTTATCTTATTTTTAGAGAGTTAGGCGTTCGCACCCCAGCTTAACGCAAGTTATCTGCGATGCGGAACTTAACCAACTGTTTTTAAGAGCCGCTTAGAAGATGGGATAGCAGCTGTAGCTTTTAACACCCACCAATCTGTAGTAGGCCCGCGTGGCGGGTTAACGCCCGATTCTCCATTAGGAAAACTAGTACCTCAGTAGTGATTACTTTAATAGACCATCGGCCTGCGATGATGATAATGCAGATTAAAATATCGTTTTTCAAACATATCTTTCCAAAATAGTACATAAAGTTTTTCATGAGAGTTGAGTCATTCGAAGAAAATACTTATATAATAAATAAAAGCGAAGAAAAGTTGATTCTCCTTAGAGTGTACGACATATGTAATTAAACTGATATACAATCGGACTTGCTTACCCCGCTATGACCTCAGGGATTTTATTTTTAATGTTAAAACAAGCTTTGTTATTAAGGAAGACTTAATAACAAAACTTTTTATGTTTTTTAATTGCAATAATAGTGTTGTGGCGGCGATATTATATTTTAGGGATGTTCAGCTTCCCCACAGTAACAAAACAATTTCACAATTCAATAAGACCAGAATCTTCCAGTCAAGTCACTAATCTGAATAATATTTCTAAGTTTCTGTAAGATGGAATATCCAGTATGCGGTTTTACTGTCACATATTATTGTTGCCATAATTCTATTAATTAAGTAAATATGTTAAATCACGCTCACTGAAGACCCATTATACATACTCAAAGACGTTGTTCAATTTATTATTAATTTAACAGCGAACGGGAAGGATAATGATTTCCAACATGTTTCCGATAGATATACATAATTAGTGAATATATTGTAACTGACATTATATAATCAAAACTTTGAAATAATTTTGTCATTGCACATGAAGTTCCACTATCAAAGATTCTTTTTCGTGGTCGCTAAACTCTTGGCAGAGTGGTCGAGGTCGTCTGTTGAGGGTTTGTAACATGCCCCCCGATACGTCGCCACTCGTTTCAGACGGCTGATTTCCTCATATACTCGTATAGAGAACTATTAAAAACAGCCTTTACTTGGTCCGTCCAGCGTATCGGTGACCTTTCGCGTGGTCTCGTTCCTTCCACATTTCCTTACACCACAAGGCGATCTATAGTCATATCTCCTCGTCGAGAGATAGTCATGTCCAAAGAAAGTGGGAACCCGAGCCTGTACTATATGGTGAGTCGTACCACACCTTTTATTTCGTCCTAGATTTCCGCATGTAAACTTTTGGTCTTTGATCTTTAACATAATTTCTTCTTTATTATTCACTTTTCGTAATTTAAAATTTTGGGTATCGGATTATGCTCTTTCGTATTGCCAGTTCGTGAAATTTCATCCAGTGAAAACATATCATCAATTTCTGATCCAAAAAATTATTAGGAATTTATCAAAATATAATTATAATTAGTAGTTCTGTTATTTTCACGTATTATATATAAATCAGTAAAAAAAAGATGTAACGTATTACTAAAGTTCTATTTACTCTATAAAATAAATCAAGTTATCAAGCTTAGTCAGCCTTTCATTTACCTAAGCACCAAACCCGTCACAGTACTATGGAAGATAGACGCTGTTTGATGCTGAATCCCTGAAGGATGGACTGGTTGGTCCTGAACTCGTCTATCGTCTATAAGGTGTCCATCTTCTTTCAAACCAAAGATTATAGTTGTTATAATACCTTAAATTATGCTACCTAAAACACGTTAAATCAACACTAATTTATTTACTTAAAGATTGAACGGATAGATCTCAGAGTATGAAGCTGAAGAGATGGAGGCTCCCAATATTATTGTATACGTACGTAAGTTTTATTCTAATAGATAATCATTATTAGTAAATTTTCAATGGAACCACGAAAGAAATAATATGATACCTTCATACTAACAAAGCTTGTAACAAAGTAGGTAATCAGTAAATGAGTCATAAAATGTGGTTTTGCGGGTATATTATTAACGAGAAGATTAACCAAATCACTTTACTACGTAGCCAACTTAATTCTGTTAACAATAATAGAATTAAATGGGTTTCATTAAGATTTTATCAGTTTAAATTCCTTTCAAGAATCTGTGGCAAATTCGGCTATTAATCTAATCGAAATTAATTTATTAACGAACATGAATCGTTTTAAATAAAACTTCTAGATTTTGCAAATTAATAATAGAATTAGGCATTAATTTCTTATTTAGGACAACGTTGAATCAGATGGATTTCTATTTTGCTATAATTTTGCCAAGATTTATTAGTCCAGTTAAAATAGTAAAAAACATACTGATGGTGATAGTTTTGCATGAACACCCAAAAACGAAACAATAAAATTTTCTATTTTCATATCTTCTATATAAAGTTTATCGTCATTATCATGATCTAATTTTGAATAATAATCCAGTCATGGACGAATACATCTTCCTTCTTCCTCTATTTCTAGCCCTATTCATCAAGAGTTGTCGTAATATGTTTCTAAAGTTTCTACCAACTATATATAACTCTATACGAATTAGCTACTATAAAAATGGCTACTGTAACTATTATATACGCAGGTAACACGAAAACGTTAAACGAAAGTGTCGGGAACTGTCGTTGACCAATTTATAGGTTTTTTACGACCAAATAAAGCCTCAAAATGTAAGTATACTATTACACTGGTAATAATTAATTTTATCCAATTGAAAGTAAAATGACGTCATCAAAATGTCTAGTAAAATCGGGTTAGAACTTA